ACTGATTTACTGGTAGTCTCGAAACCCTACTCTTATACAAATATCAGTTAAACCAGTCCATTGAGCGGATGCCTTTTGCCAGTTTTCTATTTTCTGTAAAGACAATTTTCGAGGCTATCAGCAATTTTTGAATAAGATATTACTCATTGATATGTGAGATGTATTCATCTTATTTCGTTTAAGGTGATGAATAACTGGCAGTAGAATGTTCCCGCATTCATATGAGCAGACATCAACTTTCCACTGAATTTCACATGGCCTAGCTGGAGTGGACTGCCTTTTAGACTTGGCATACGTCCCATCAGCAACCCTACCGAGACTCGAACCATGACAGTGCAGCGCACAATCTCTACACGTAAACCACTACTCCGCATTACCACGAGTTCCCTTGGATCACAAGGCAGATGTGATCTAAAAGAGGTCGAAATTACAATCCAGCCTGGACGGGAATACCTTTTAGGAAGCCAGGCTATGTAAAATTCATTGGGGACGTTAGCTCTACTCATATGTTTGTGGAAAAATTCAACTACCAGTCGTTTATCACCTTAAACGAAATAGGGTGAAAACAACTCATATATCTGATTTACTGGAAGTCTCGAAGCCCTACTTACAAACGACAAATTAGTCACTGATAATTGAATTTCTTATAAAATGAGATGAAAAGGCCTCACGCTGCCCTTGAATTTCATTTACTCTTACTTACCAAAAGGTGCTGTCGTCCAGGCTAGATGGCGGTTTCGCCCACAACATGTTTCGGTACTGGATTGTAAATACCGTGTCGATGTTAACCGCTCGACTACACGGCCATAGGTGCCAGTGAGTCAGAGGTCAGATGAGCCAGCCAAGGCAGGACTGGCTTCTCCCAACTCATATGTTTTATGGTTAGATTGCCGATTATGCAAACGTGTATTTTCAGTTGCGCTCCGCGACGTTATTTACTTTCGATATAAGTAGGCTTCCATATAATCACTAATTCGCGGATAAGAATTGAAGTACTGATGAGACTCGGGCTAGGTTGGAACTGTAGAGCTTACTTCCATTTCGAGTGAAAGTGTTGGGTGAATAGATTCGAAGGTCGGTCAAGAGGGAAGAAGAGTTTTCTTGACTCGTCAGCTTGAATTTTGTTGTGATAATGTTACCTCGCTCTGATGATGTGCGTCATATGACGGACGAAAGCTTAACACCCTTTATCCAGAATCGAAGGAGATTGCCTCGGAAACAGCGTCAGCCTTAATCTTCCATTAAAGCCAATCAATAGCTGGTCAAGAAGAATCCGCCGTCGTCTTTTGGTGGAACCGACCTGCGAATCTCTTCACCAAACATTTTCACTCGAAATGGAAGTAAGCTCAACAATTATGAAACAAGAGATTCTTAGAAACCCAACTTTTCTTCGCATAGGTTGGAACTGCAGTCCAGCCTGAGCAGGATAGCCATTTGGAAGGCAAGGCTAAGTAACATTCAATGGCATGGTGAAGGCTACTCATTCGATTGTGGGAAAAACTCAACTATCAGTATTTAAGTGTTAGTGACTTAGACGTGTTAAGTTCTTATTCAAGAATTACTGTTAGTATCGCAATTTATAGCCTAAATAGCCTAAAGTGATTTGAAGACCAATAATTGAGTTTTCCCACAACTTTCCGCATATGCCTCACGCTGTTAATGAATTTTACTTGGCCTTGCCTCCCTTCACTCAAGGTTGACTTAAGTTTCGACATGACCTCAATTTCATCAGCACCCCCAGTTGGATTTGAGCCCAGATCGTCGCTTTGTTGCATTGCGTCACAGAACAGATGTGTCTCAAAGTAAGCGAGGCCTCTCCCGAATGCCATCGATAGTGAGAATGCCTATGAGGTAGGCTTTTATTTCCCAGTACAATCGACAACTTTACTTATTTTCACTAAGACTATCAGTAATTATTAAATAAAAACTTAGTCAGCCTAGGCCGCTTGGAGCGATTTAAGGACTGAGAGTGGAATCCTTTCCCAAATTATGATTAGTCTGGCCCCATTGTACATCTAATCTGAAGCTTTCACAAGTGTCATTACTCTGTTGCTAGAGTCCTCTAAAATGCCCCATTTTAGCCAACCTAGTTGTGAGCCTCTTAATTGTAGGTTGTTTAAGGGACCACTACATCCGGCATTTCAGCCACTGAAGAGTTTTTTTCGTCTAAGCGACATTTCACTAAATTTGGTCTTGGTCACTTGTCATCTCTGCCATGGTAACTAACGCTGGTTCGAAGTCATATAGTCAAGGGCAGTCTGAATATCTGATGACATCTCAAATTCCTCCATTTTCCGTTGCTATGCTAAGTCGGCCAATTATGGTTTCAGCCTCCAGCAAGTTTGCCTTCTGCGCAAGTTCGACTGGTGTGCTACAGTCACGGGGCTCTCAGGAGGCGTATTATGGCTTGTTGAATGACCCATGTAGCCGCTTGACTATAGTACCGGGCAGGTAACCAAGGGTGCTTCGTAGTGACCACCGAGCAACACAACGTTCATGCATACAAACGTTTACAGGGACCCAGATACAGAATTATCCGTGATGAGTTAATTTATATCCGACGGGGCAGACGACTTCCCGTAAAGCAAGTTCACATCACGAAGGTGTGAAATATCTATCCATGTATGGACCAACCCGGTCAAGTTTAGTTAACGGTTTGGCGGCCTCATCCAAGCGAAGGCAAGGCTGTCGGAACTCATAGTGATGTTATGCTTACATCCTTTTGCGTTTTAAACGAATTTTCAGTCTGTAGCCGTGCCAAATCCACTAGTGACCACTCCGACTTGTCCACAACCAGAGGTAATGTACATTCTGTGTTGAAGACTTTCGGTGTAATGTAGCCGTGTCTTGTTGCAGAACCCGAGGGCTTCATAGTTCACAGAATGGGCTGGAGTTGTGTCTGTTTGTAGAACTGAGTTGGCCGGGACAAGCGAATCACTGGGAAGCCAAGTGAAATAGGAGAATTGGAGACGAAACCCGCCTGCGGACTATACTTCAGCCTCTTAATGCACTAAGTAGGTAAATTTCGAAGCTATCAGCAGATGTTGAATGAGAACTTGCGCCCTCCTAGGCTGCCAAGCTTGATGCAAAATTATCATTCAAGATCCCGTGAAAGTTTAGGGAGCTACTTATTTTGATAAAAGTAATATAGTATATTTAATATCAAATTCAAATCAGCCTTAGCAACAATGGACACAAAAAAAACTTGAATTAAAATGGACCTGGCTTGAAATCCGTCCTGTTCCTCAATGACGTCCAGAGGAGTGGCAAAGTTGATTCTTGATGAATACGACCTAAATTCGAATGATTTCGCAGCTGTGAAGTCAAAATAAGTAAGAATTTTTAGTAGAAACGAAGAATAAAAATTATTAGAGTAGTGATCCCTTATACTTATTCAGTAAGCGTCCTAGTCACCCTAGGCCATATTAGGTGATGAAGGACTGATAGTTGAACTTTTCCGGAATCTAGTGACTAGGCCCCCGTTTACATTTAATTTCACATTGCCTTGCTTGAATGGTTTGTAGTTCTGGCCTCAGCTGAGTCTCATCAGCATCACTAGCGGGGCCCGAACTCGGGTTTTGGTAGTGAAGTGTATAATCTCGCATTGTTACCACTACGCCACACCACCACAAAAACCCTTGTTCGAAATTCATTCAT